TTCGCTATAACTTGGCCAAAAAAAGATATATCGATCTGAAATTTGGTATGTATATAGAAGAGCGCTGGGACTATCACATATATTCCGGTTTTTTCGAAATTCGGAAAAATTTTGGATTTTTTAAAAGTTTTTCTAAAAAAATCAATTTTTTGATTTTTTTGGTCAAAAACCAAAAATTTTGAAAATCCGAGATAGCAGTTTTGTAGCGCCGCTTTTTGTCTACTAGACCATATAAAGAACTTTGAAATTGCTTGATAACTGTAGATTTAGTGAGCGTTTCAAGATTGCATGTTTTTTGCTCATTTTTGCTCGAACATGACCTCAGTTTGACCTCAATAACTCCTGACCTAAGGTGACCTAAGACTTGAAATTTGGTGTGAAGGTGTCAAATTGATGCCCGGGAAGGTACTGAAAATTTGTCGGCGCTGCGCGCCGCCGTTTTCTTGCTATTCAGGAAAAACCACAGGGGGGCCAAAATGGCCCCCCCAACGGGGCGAGGGTTAATAACACAGATAAAATGAATATTAGCCCTCACCACACATATAAGTAGAGGTAAGTAGACCGCGCCCCCTGTTTTTCACCAATAAATCGCGGCAAAGCGAAGGATTGCGACGATTCTTTGGTGCCTTGGAGTTAATCAATTTTACAACTTCCCGGAAAATTAAATAGCCCTTATAATTTTTGCATCTTGTCTGAGAATTTTAAATCCCTGAACCAAATTACCTTTAACCTGTGATTATTTTTCTCAAGATCATGTCAGGCCAAAATAGCAATTGAAAGTCAGCGCACATCTGTGTGTTTCCATAGTCGTTTCGTGATTAGCAACGTGACAACATGTGAAATATACTATCTAATGTTTGTCTCATTGATTGTTGTGGGTGCCAAGGTCACGTGAAACTCAGGTTAAGGTCATTTACTTGAAATGATCTCGGTTAACTTCCTTAAATTTACACCTTTTTTTCTGTGGTTTTTAGGAAGTGTTGGTTTTATTAGCACTCATTTTAGCATTTGAAAACTAGGCATACTTAGGTATCAGTTATAGTGCCTATGCAATATGTTGCAGGGCTGTAAGTGCTGGTTAACATTCTATGGATAGCCGGCAGAACGCCTAATGGGTGATCTGGCAAACGATGGATAAAATGATTTCTTCCGTGATAGAGAATTGACGAGCTATTGGAAGGCTTAAAACAGTCACTTTTTGATGGAGGAAAAAAACTTTGCCATAAGTATCTATGCCATTGAGTAAATAAAAGAGCCCACTCTTCGCCGCGCCCGGGAAAAGAAAAGGTTCGCTTTTTCTATCCATGCTCAACTTTCCCCACGACGTGTCTCAGCTTACCCCGCCCATGGGGTAAGATGAGCAACGTGCAAGATCATTTTTGACGTAGCCTTTTCAGTACAAAAATAAGCGGTATGAAACATTTCTGGCCACCATTACATGCGCCAATGGCACCACTCTGTCCGTCCAACCCGTAAACGCAGAAAAATGATCAGTAAGTTAGCCTGTAGCATACGAAAAACAAAAAGCGGCTCAACTTACCTCATTCTCCCCTACGTAACACAATTGAGGGCATTTTTAGGCCATCACAGTATTTGTCAACAATTGTTGCTTGGGGGACTGGGGAAGGTGGTTACTGGCTAATCTGTCCCCCCAAAAAAAGAAAACGAAACCGATCATCCGCGAAAAGAACTATTGAACTCGAACCAAGATGACGAATCGATTTATAGGTATGCAGGATGACTAACGATGCCACTTTTTGACTTCTTGTGTCAAATAAATTCCATCATCTGGATAGCACGTCAACATTCTATTTGACATTTTGCAACAAACGTATACTATTTGGCGCGACTAGCCTCATAAATGTTCTGAAACTAAAACGTTTCTTCGCAATTAACTTGAACCACGTCATCCCAGCTTATGCACGACAAAAATAAAATGATGCTTCAGGATCACTGGCCTGAATTCCAATGCTTAAAGTTTACTCAAAACCGGTGTGCCTGCGGCACTCTTCGCTACATCTCGTGACGGCCACCATTGTGTTGCATTTTTCGGTAAGCTATAAGTTAATAAGGAAAGGATTGGTGAGTGGGTTGAAAACAGCCCTCACCCTCCACCCCCCCCCCCCCTCCTTCTTCTGGAAACATAAGTAACCGAAAGATCTGGCGATGGTTTATCCACCTCCTCTGCCGCCGCGCTGCGAGGTCTCGATTCGTTCGGTATGTGGCTTCCTGAGCGGTCCTCCCCGGAGGCAAGGTGAAAGGTCATGGCCTGTATCAGAAATTTATACGTTGCTGAATATGTTTTATAGTTCTTCCAAGGCCTTGGGCACCGTTTTATTATATCGGATAAGCATTGCCAGGGGCGGCGCCACGGGTTTTCGATAGGGGGGGACGGGGACCGAAAATCGAAAATCCCAAAAGTAGATACTGATCGTGTATGCAAAAAAAAAAAAAAACGAGGCACGTAACGCCGCGAAACTTGGCAAGGCCCAAAACACATCGAATGGTGCATCCCGTTTCCAAACTTATCCAGGACACCTAGGATCGATCACCTTTTCAAGCATCCTTGCCTCTAAATCAAATTTTGCAGTCTTGCCAACTCAAAGCTGGTTTCCTACAAGCTACGAATTGCTTAGGTATGAGTAGCAGTGCCAGCTATTCTTACGTTTCGTACTTTCAAATTTTCGATCTTACGTCTGGTCAGCTTCAGGGCTTCACCATCATATAGTCATGGAGGAAAAGTGGGAATGTCTTCTGCTCTGACAAGTGCGCCAAAACTGCAATATAATTTCAGAATCATGACATCACCACCTGATCCATATGCAACGGGCAGGGTGAAGCTAATGGCTAGCCGTCAGTGGTCATGTCATCGGTGGTCACTCAAAAGGTCATGCTAGGTCATGGAAGGTCACCAGCCGTTATTTGATCACACTTTCTGATGGATTTTACTTGCCAAGAGCTTCGCGGGAAAAACGAGCGCATGCACCGTTGAAAAAATTGAGTGAAAGGGTCTCAGGTCCGGCGACCTCTGCAGGTGAAATGCCCCAGGGTAGGATTCCGGTGCTTGTTGATTAACTTCGTCAAAAATGGCAGTAGAGCTGTGATGTCGGCACCATTGTGTTCGTCATGACCGAGCTGGCACGACCTGCATCGTTCTCATATTCACCCTCCAATCGTAACAACTACAGCAGGGATTGGCAAATGGCGGGGCACCCCCTTTGGGAGGTAATGAAGGTCTCTGGAAACCTCATCCCACATCTCTTTAGCATTAGTGTCTCTCCTTATGGAACAGGTTTCTTGACTGGTCTGTTTCACCCCAGAATTCAAAGACTAGCCAAGGTAAAACCGAGCGCACCACAGTGAGCACAATTTGATAAGCTGGTGTATCTCAATTTTCATGTAGAACCTTTCACGTATCACGGACCTAAAACCCTTTCGTGCACTCATGCAAAAGCAACTGCCATGTTTCAACCGCTGGTAATGGCATTTTCACAGCCGCTGACGTAAGAAGGGGAGGGATGGGGGGCTCGATAAGACCCCCAGCCGTTCGGCCGCCGACCGAACTTAGTTTTGCAGAAAAAAAAAAACGAGTGCTATCGAACCCCTTGACGAGAGGGAGCCGATGCTATATCCAATTATAAGGTCTTGGGCTACTGCGTGCTTTTTTGGTCCTGCCTGTGATCTATCCGAACACTTCTCCCCACAAGTGCTGGGGTTAAATGGCATAGATTTCAAATGGTTCCTGTGGTAGAACTGCCATGCTTGAATTTGACTAATTAGGAATGGAAAATTTTCATATAGTAACGGAAATCTATGGAATTTCAGTGAGCTTGGTTTTATCGGCAATGGGGTCTGGCAGTGGGGTGGGGAGGTAATAAGTAATAACCCTGCCTGGCGCCCCAAAAAGGGGGCACGATCCCCGAGGCCCTGCCGATCACCTTATAACTACAGGCATCACAGCTCCACACCTTTTGCAGATGGCCAGGACCCCTTGCGATGCATCCCAACAGCAATCTTTATTCAGAACCTGCCTTGATTAACCAACGATGCATTAAATGCGACGGATAGCTCTATAATGCATTATTATCAACTATTGAAAGGGCCTCGCCGATAGGGGGGTACTGTACCCCCCTAACTTTCGATAGCGGGGGACCTGTCCCCCCCGTCCCCCCCGGTGGCGCCGCCCATGAGCATTGCAATTTCTTGTCAATCAATACATCTAAAGAAAACTTGATCATAATCTTATGCTGCGGCAATTGTAGTTCTGCTTATTGTTGCCTCTTTATGATACGGGCCAACACCACCTCCAATGCGCTGGAGCTCTGGCGTTCTACCCCTCCCCGCAACGGACCGGCCCTCGGGCTAGGTGTGTTAGTACTGAGCGCAAACCTGTAGTAGTCACGTGACTTTCATTCACGTAGCGGGAAAGGAAGCTGACGGGCTCTGGGGAGGCAACCGGCGCGGAAAAATAGCACGATTGTAGTTTTGGAAGAATATCTGTTGCGGTAAGAGGAATTATACAAAACATACGTCCTAGGAGCAAACATGTGTTATTCCTCCATACTTTGCACTACAATTCCTTTCTCCAATGGCCAGCACTTAGCAAATAATAGCGCAATTCTAAATTGGTAATATATGTGGGACGCCGGTGAAAACAGGGCGCCGGAGGGCATATTAGTCACGTGACATTTGGAGCTTCTCCCCCTTTGTGGGCCTTCTATATTCTAAACGTCACGTGTAAACTTCACGGACCTTGATCAAATCGCCCCAGGCGCCCTGTTTTCACCGTCGTCCTATATGTGTACAGTAGCAACTGCGCCTTTACATAGCCTTGCAACTGCGGGTCCCTGTACCAGGCCGTGCCGAATGCAAAAATTACAGTGTTCCAATTTGACAAACACCATTTCTACGGTGACATTTACAACGCAGCGATATGAACCATTGAAGAAAAAAAAAATCGTGAGCAGAGACGTCTTTATTTCTATAGCAGCAGCACTTACTTCGTATTTCCGGAACTAGGTGTCAGTCGCTTAGGGGTGTTTGAAAATGTTCGCTTGCAACAGGAGAGGCGAATTTGATTTAAAATTAACATCCTGCATTGAATAAACGGAACTACACCCGCGCAAGCCGCCATGCCTTTTGTTTATCTAACCTGATTTTTTGGTTTACATGTTGTGCGTAATTAGACCAAACCACAAGACATGAGCATCGGCGAGATTGCTCTTGGATTATTTTAAAGTTACGTCCCACTCTGTCCGTGTGAGGTTTTTTGATCGCCAATCAACGATGCCAATTTCAGGTTCCTGCAAAAGGTGGTGAAAATTTATTGCTGCTACACATGTGTGGCACATTTTCCCGAATCCCCCATTTTTCGATGACGTCATCAGTCCAAACACGTATTGGTTAGTGGGGGTTTTCTTACATGTTGAGCGGTGTCATTTCGCGATTCTCGGACTCGACATAAACAAAACCGTGGAGAAATTGTTTTGGAAGGGGTAGGTGAGAAAGCGTGATATAGGAAATAGTTCACTTTTAACATGGGGTTTGAACATGAATAGCAGTTTTGTAGCTTGAGCTGAGACAAGCACAAATCAGGAGCTTTTACGGCCCAACGTCAACGTTCACCCTCAGCCGGGGGAGGTTTCAGTTCAAGTTGGGGAAACTACGAGGAGGCAGGAGCCAAGCACAGATTGGATCAGCCCATCAACAGCTGGAGTGGGCGGGGCGATGACCATATATGGTAAAAAATCCGACTTCATCTTTTCCATGCATCCTAGCATTCAAATGAAAAAATAAGGCATAACAATACAATGTTTTTTGACCACACACACAATGACAAGGCCTACACTCACTCGGTGCACAATGCACTGGCAGCTCTAAATCGCAGAGTTACAATACAAGGTCAAACAGTGATTGGCAAATATGGCAGATTGAAACAGACGCGCCAAAAAATGTAAGCAGCACCGTGGTTTGAAAATGTCATAATTTTTATTATTTCAGTTGGGGAAACTAGCCCGACTGGAAAAAATGCCTCCACTACGCTGAAGTTCTCGGCGGAGGTGATGCGCCGAAATTTCGGCGCAAGGGTTTATGCGCCGAAATTATTTTACCAAGCCATGCTTCATGCGCCGAAAATTTTCAAGGCTTACTGATGGCTGCAGGCTGTAGCCACACACTTTTCGTCGAGGGGGGGGGCTGGCATGTGTGTGTGGCTGTCTTCCAGTGACTACTGTACAGACGGTTGTTGGCACGGTCGACGGGATCGGGCAGACAATAGACATCAGCAGGCCATGCGGGACCGAGCACCAGCGTTCGCTATCACAAAATCTCCTGACTCACAAACTCACTGGCATGTTCCATAATGTAACCTTTATTTTGTTGCCCGGCTCTGATCAGCAGTAGTGCCCAACCGGTGACTGACGCCTGACGGGGCCTTCAACAGGCGTGGTGCAAGCACGGCCGATGGGATCGGGCAGATACCAGGCCACGCGGGACCGATTGCCAGCGTCCGCTCGCAAACCACACGCCGGAAATACAGGAATCACAACGGTCAATACGCACACAATAGCATACGTTATCTGAACTAGGGAATCCGACAATCCATAACCTCACTCTCGACCGGTGAACTGTTCCCGCCGTGGGAGAGTCACAATCAGGTTCACTGAACATGACTTAAATACCCTGAGACGAACACGAGACAAGATAAGTGATATGTAAGATGTTTAACTCCCGAAGACATTTAATCCTCGCCGGCCGAGGGGGGGTTGGTGCCTGACGGTTTTTTTCGCGATTTACGCCGAAGTACGCCGAAAATTTCGGCGCAAGCCGTCGATTTACGCCGAAGTACGCCGAAAATTTTCGGCGCAAACGCCCAACTACGCTCGAGTTCTCGACGAAAGCGTGCATTTTTTCCAGTCGGGGAAACTAGTAACTACCTACAAGGCGAATATCAAAAAATTGATTGGTCAATAAATGGACTATTAATGATCATATATGGGTCGCCTGTGAAAACAGGGCATCGGAGGGCATATTAGTCACGTGACATTTGGAACTTCTCCCCCTCTGTGGGCCTTCTACATGCTAAACGTCTCGTGTGAATTTCACGAACCTTGATCAAATCGCCCCAGGCGCCCTGTTTTCACTGTCGTCCAATATATGGTCATAAATGCAGCCCCCGCTACTAAGGGTGAAAAATGGTAGAACAAGCCCGTACGTACTAGCGGTATGGGGTCCACTTCGGAGAGAAAAGGCTTCCATTTTTCACTAGGAATTACCGATCAGACCGGTACCGGTACCAATCAGACAAGCCAGACCCATGAACAGAGCATTGTTTAGTCCGCCGTTTGCTTGAGTGAACACTGTATCATCCGGCTTGTTCTCGCGCATCCCACGCACTGTCAACCACTTTCTAGGGTCTGTTGAAACAGCAGACTTATTTTTCAATTCACTTGGTCAGTTGAAGAGGCAGAGCGTGCTGTATGTGTCAACCCTTCCTCCTGTCGTGTAAAAATTAGCTTGTGATGTTTTAAGCTTTTTATCTTGTGCACATCATACATCATTAATGCTTTATTTTTAGGTAGGTAGATATGGTAGATATTCAGTACTTTCAGTATCTTATACAGTGTTTTAATGTTTATGTATATCGTATGTACTTCTATAGTAGGTACTATTTATCTGTTATGCCTTCATAGTCATTTACACTCTGCCTTTATAGTCTTTTTTTACACTATAGGTACTTTTACTTTTACTTCTATAGTCTTCTGTACTTGGAACAGATCATTATTTTTATAGTGTGTTTGGTGTGTGATATACTTATATGACTTCACCTGTCATTGGGCCAAGCCTGTTGGTGATTTGCTTAAATACAGAAATACTGAATTAGCGTGATTTGATTAAATTCGGCGAATTGACTCAAAAATGGCGATAGGAAAACGGCTTTTCTGCAGGTTCTGGGCGTCACAATCAGCTGGCCATTCTATAAATGGATTGGTGTTTTGAAAGAAAATTGTTAAAAGATTTAATTTAAAGGGACCCTCCCACCTTAACATTAGTTTTGAGTTGAGATAGCCAAGTTTGCGGCCAGGCTCAGAAACCACCATTTATCCTGGTCGCAACCCCCGCAGCTTTATGGTATTCAAGAAATTTCTTCCCTTTACTTGCAGGGTGGGACCAGCTTGGTCCCTATCTCTTAACCATTACGGGAATCTGATGACGTCATCAGGCTTTCGAACGTCCGTCATTAAGTTTGACTAAAACGTTTTGTAGCACGCGGTGGTATATGCTATTTGCGCGCAACATCTGCCGCAAACGCCGCACTTCTAAAATAAAGTCGCTAGAAACAGCGGAGATCCCAAAAAGTAAACAAAAGTAAAAGTCTAATATCTTGAAAACCGGTGAATATTTTTCGGTGAAATTTGGTAGATATTCGTTTTCGCTCTTTCTGAACCGAGCGACATCACTTTCATGCCAATTCATAAACTTTTTTGAAGGTGGGAGGGTCCCTTTAATTACAATAAGCAAAAATATTTAATTTTAAAAAGGTAACTTAACCACAATTAGAAAAAAACATAAAAAATAATTACATTTTTAAACCACAATACTGCTTACATTTTTTGGCATGCCTGTTTTAATCCGCCATATTTGCCAATCACTGTTTGACCTTGCATTGTAATTCTGCGATTTAGAGCCGCCAGTTAATTATGCATCGAGTGAGTGTAGGCCTTGTGTGGTTAAAAAGCATTCTTATGCCCTATTTTTTCATTTGAATGCTAGGATTCATTGAAAAGATGAAGTAGTCTGATTTTATGACCATATATGGTCATCGCCCCGCCCACTCCAGCCGTTAATTGGCTAATCCAACTTTTGGGCCTTCTCAGCCCGGAAATGGTCCCTATCATGTCGAAAAAGGGCCCCCTCAAAACATAACTTGGCCCTCTCAGGTCTGAAATGGTGCCTCTTATGCCTGAATGAGGCCTCAAATAAGCCCTCTCTGGCCTCAAACGGGTCCTTTAGGGCATGAAATGCAGTGTTCCATTTTTCAGACTTTTTGATGGCAAATCACACCTCATTGGGAAAATATTTTCATCTCTAAAATATGAATGACCGATTGACCGACTTAACTTCATCTCTGATAAGAGTTTCATGTATCCCCAACAGCCAGTTCACATGTCACCTGACAGTTGATGCACCCACATCCTTTTGTTCCACACCCTGTAAAGTTTCTGACCTAAAATCCTGGTTTATCAGTTGACATAAAAATTAGCATTACACCATTTTGCAGAAATACTTCAGTTATTTACTTTCTTTTTTCTCATCCTAGGATTTTTTCTTCTTCACCGGCACACTCAACCAATATCCAATTTTAGAACACTGATGAAATGGGCCCTCTCAAGCTTGAAATGGCCCCTTCAGGCCTGAAATGACCCTTCTCAGGCCTGCAATGGGCCCTCTCAGACCTCAAACATGCCCTTTAGGGCCTGAAATGGACCCCTTCAGGCCTGAAGTGGGCCCACACAGGCATCAAATGGGCCCTCTCAGGCCTGAAATGGCCCCTCTCAGGCCTCTAACAGGCCCTCTGGGGCATTCCACGATAGATCGACCAAAAAAACTTAAAATTTACACCCGCATATTTTATTTTTTGCTTAAAATTGGTCTAGTGGGTTGTTATGGGCGGGGAAGCCAGCTGTGCCAAGGATATTTTTCTTCGAACAACGGTTTCCGAGATATAGCCTCAGGCAAGTCCTGGAGGTCACGCTGCAACCCTATGTTTGGCGGCTTATAACTCAGAAACTATTGGTTTTCTATGGTAAAAACTTTATATGGTTCAACTCGCCATGGGTGGAGAACCTGCCCCGGCCACCCCGGCCGTGGCCGGGGTAACTTTCAGCCTACCCCGGCGCGGCCGGGGTAACTTTGTCCACTTTTGTAAATCCTAAAAGCTATCTCCATGCGAAAAACTGCCACCTATAAGTGTCTCTCATTATTCTTATCTACCTTGAAAGGTTTTTTTAAAATTTACTTTATTTTCATTTTGGAGCTTCTATGCTCTCATTTTTTTTCATTGCGCAGCCCGACAAGTTTCATCTAACAAACCTAAATCATATTTAAGGGCCGTTATCGTAAGATGGCACTGCAATATCATCACAAGAGAGGACGAGGGTAATATCAGTGAGATAGAAGGACGAGCTGTTGGGGGCTGGGGTTCAAGGCTCCTCCAACTTAACCCGCGCCAGGGTGGTGGCTCTATCGTACCTAACACGTTGAGTCGAGCGGTCGGCGTTTCACGCTCCTTCTAACTCGGCTTCTGGGCTACGAGGCGAAAAGCGGAACGACGTTTGAAAGAGGGACAAACGTGATCAGAGAAATCTGGTCAAGTTTTAGGCAAGCTCAATCATAAAATCACCATGGATAATTAAATCCAAATTTCTCTGATTTTAGCGTTCTCCAACGACTTTTCTCAAAGTTCATAACATAAGCCTGTCCCGTAGCTCAGTTGGTAGAGGCAACGGACTCCCGAGAGCCCGGGTTCGAGTCGCTCCGGCGCTCGATATTTGAGACTCCTGACGGTGATGGTCTGCGGTTGGTGGGAGCAGCCTCAGCCAGTTGAAGTCAGTTGAGTGGGACAGCCCGTGTCCGGCTTTGAAGGGCACGTTAAACTTTGGCATCTAAATTATCCCGTTACCCGGAATTGCGCGATCGGACGGTAGGGTTCGGGGTCTACCTACGCAACAAGCTCTGCTT